TATAGATAAGATAAGGCGACCGACATACGGCACGTCTCTTATACACATCTAGATGTGTATAAGAGACAGGGTTGTAGAGGATGCAAGGACCAACAGCAAGGGAAAAAAGAAAGTACAAATATCGGAAGAAGAAGGAGAAGAAGAAGAATTAGAAGGAGAAGAAGAAGAAGTAGAAGAAGAAGAAAAAGAAGAAGAAGAAGAAGAAGAAGAAGAAGAAGTCTGTGCGGTTGTGAATAGGGCTGCTGTCTACCCGCTTACGTCCTTTTTTAGGGGCAGGGACAAAAAAAAGAACGGGCAACAGAGGGCAGTAGGATATGGCAGGCGGTACAACATGGCTGGCGGATGTGCGAGATGGTGGGCGATAAGATATGGAGGAGGAAAAAGATGAGGAGGGAAGAAGAAGAAGGAAAGAGGAGGAGGAGGAGGAGGAGGGAAGAAGAAGACGAAAGGAGGAGGAGGGCGAAGAAGAGGAGGGAAGGAGGAGGAGAGGAGGAGGAAAAAGATGGAGACTTGAAAAACGAAACAGACGAAAGGAGGAGGAGGAGGAGGAGAGAAGAACAAGGAGGAGGAAGAGTAGGAGGAGGAGGAGGAAGAAGAGGAAGATCAAGAAAGGAGGAAGAAGAAGATGATGAAAAGAGGAGGAGAGAAGGACAAGACGAAAGGAGGAGGAGGAGACGGAGAAGAGAAGAAGAAGAAGACGAGAGGAGGAGGAGGAGGAGAGAAGGACATGATGAAAGGAGGAGGAAGAGGAGGAGGAGGAGGAGGAGAGAAGAAAAAGGAGGACAAGATGAAAGGAGGAGGAGGATGAGAGAAGAAAAAGAGGATGAGAGGAGGAGGAGGAGGAGGAGGACAGAATGAGAAGACGAAAGTAGGTGGAGGAGGAGGAGAGAAGAAGAAGACGAGAGGAGTAGAGAAGAAAAAGTAAATGAGAGGAGTAGTAGGAGAAGGAGAACACGAAAGTGGAGGAGGAGGAGGAGAGAAGAAGAAGACGGGGGGAGGAGGAGGAGGAGGAGGAGGACCTGCCGGATTCGGATGGTGATGACAAAAAAAAAAAAAAAAA